ATGACCGGACCGTCTGTTTTGCAGCACTCGAGCAAAATAATTTGGGTCACGTTGCATGGGTACGGGCAAGCCATCAACACCTAGGGAGGAGCTGACAGTTTGGGGTAAAAAAAACAAATAAATAAATAACAGCGACATCACCATCAATTTACTCGTTATCCGTATCTGGAATAGACCTCAGATATGGTGCTGCAATAAAAAGACAAGAAGCAAAACCAAAAAACAACAGGCACGACGGCTGAGTCCACATCGTTCCGGAGAGATAAGTGCCGGCAAGCGTGCCGCAACAACAGTTATATTATGCCCAGCGAATGAACTCATATTTTCAGGGTGAAGCGAAGCACGAGAGAACGGACAAAGGAACTCACAACACAAACGTCATTGGGCCGGTTCCTCACCGTATGAGCAGTTGTGGCCAACCAATCTTGTTCAGCTTCTTTAGTCCCCAGCCCGGCAGTCGGGACGCACCAACCGACGCCAACTTCAAAGTGAAGGTTATCATGTATCACGATCAAGCAGTGTTTGGCCTCCCCTTCTCCTCATCCAAATGCACCATCGGCGCGCCATCAATGCACGTCACGGGAGTCGGTGTACTGGCATGCGCAACACGTGGCTCAACCATCGGAGCCTGGTGCGTGATAGAATGTCCCTGAGTGGTTCACTGGCTCATTCTGCAATTATTACACGACGCCGAACAGGCTCATTGCACAAGCGGTACTCCCACCATTCGTGAACTAAGCTGCTGAGGCAGCTATGATCGAACATGACGAGCTTCTTTATGTCTGTCGACCTGATGGGCCAGGTTTCACGACCGTATAAGGGGGTTGAACGGACCATTGCATTCTAAACTCTGCCTTTCAGGGCGAGAGTAATGTCGCATCTGAGGCACTGGTGGCGGAGATTGCAAAAGCACCTAGACGTTTTGCTAGACGATTTGTAATAGCATAATCCATGCCACGGTCAATAATATAGTTGCCTAGGTTCATGAATTCATGAACGACTTCTAGCTGATCACAATAAAGACAAGAATCTTCAAAGAGTTGTGCAATGAATTTGGAGACAAATTCGACGTGCTACTATTGCACACGGAAGTGCGTTGGTTGTCACGATGCAGGGTGTTGCACCAAGTGCTTCAGCTTCGAGAGGAAATTGCAATCTTTCTTCGAAGAAAAGAGATGCATAAGGGTAAGGGAAACGAGTTACACGTTATTATAACGGACAGCGTGTTTATTTCGAAACTTGCTTATCTTGCTAATTTCTTTGGAGAAATCAGTGCGCTTAACCTCAGCCAGCAAGGGAATATGATGAACATTTTAGTCGCTCAGGATAAAGTAGCCGGTTTCCTTCGCAAACTGCAGCTTTACCAGCGCTCTGTTGATGTTGACGACGTGGCGATATTTCTAGAAATAACGACGGTGCTCGTTGAAAGAAATGAAAAATGCGCATTCACGAATGAAATATCTTGCCACTTGTCATCAGTGATGAATTCCATCAGCAAATATTTTCCTGATTTGGAAACTCGCCAGTTAAGTGCCTGGGTGCTAAGACCGTTTACAGTAGCTGAAGGAATATTTCCAGATACTGAATTCGAAATCAAGGTACAATTCCTAGGAATGCGCGAGGACAGCGGATTGAAGGTAGATTTCCAAAGCACGCAACTAGTAACATTTTGGGCAAAGATAGGTGAAGAGTATCCATTACTGTCGGAAAGCGCATTGGGAATATTGATCCCATTTGCAACAACTTATAAATGTGAAAGTGCATTTTCGACAATGATGGTAATGAAAACAAAAGCAAGGAATCGAATGAACTTGGAGCACGACTTGCGATGTGCATTGGCCGAAACTGCACCAAATATACCAGAAATTGTTACCACCAAACAATACCAACCGTCTCATTGATGTATATCGCCTCTTGTTTGCATATAATTTTGAATTAAAAGTACTGTTTTCTTTCGTTTACTTGTCGAGGGAGATTCCGGATACTGAACACTTCTCGTACTTAAGTCCGATAATTATGTAGTGAGAAGGGCTGTTTTTCTTCAATTGCATGAGCACGTGAAACCACATATGACATTTGTTTTTGAACTTTAGAGCGAAATGTGCAATAGTTATTACATAGTAGTCTTTCGAAAGTTTGGGGGTAAACGTCTGGTGGGCAACCCCCTTTGTGGGTAACAGCGTCTAAAAGGTTGGGAACCACTGCCCTAGACCAATGGTTAAATTACATGATTGCCATTAAAATGTCGCAAATTCGTTATTTCCTTAGCAACATAAGCAGCGTAAACGGTATTACCAAAAGTTTATAAAACAAGGCTTTGCAGAATTCCGTCAGTGTTGGCACTGCAATTATACACGATTATGTACTAGGTTTCTTAGCGTTCTCTTTGAATGCAAAAGAGCTGTACGCACTTAAGTACATGAATTTGTATTATAAAGTCAGTTAAAAAGCCTTGTAAATATTCTTGTTCCAAAAGATACTTATTATTTATTTGTCATTCTATTTTGTTAGCTTAATTTAAAGCTTTGTCATCATACAAGCCATCGCAGTCCCTTTAATTTCCATAAACGTGGGTTAATTAGGGACAAAGAACTTGGTTTAACGCATCAGAAATACGGTGCTCTCTATCTTCGACATGGCTTTTGGAAGACAGGATGATCCAGCCGTAAATTTGCATGTTCTTTGACGCGCTTATATATTTTATAACATATTTTAACCTTTTTAGTATCAAATGAGTGCCAGTCTCGCGCTGCTCTTCCTAGCCTAAAACTTTAGAACATATTACATACATTGCTTAAATGAATGTGTGATCACTTGCCCATTGTTTTCTTTTCAGACGTTCAAATGAAAATCAAGTGAATCCTATTCGTTTTTGCTTCATAATCTACATATATGATTATGAACCTAAGAGCGTGTGATGGAAGTTTTATAGCAGTTCTGTAAGCAACGTTTGTAAAGAATGCTATTAAAATGCTCTTGTACACTAACGTTGATTACAAGAAAACCAAGGTAAAATATTGGGTGGTTTCTAGGTAAAGGTAACCAGTTTTCACTAGGATCGAGATATATTTGTAAATCGCGCTTGACTTATCCGAATTTTGTTCCCAAGCAAGGAACTTAAATTAGCTTTGTGCCCTCTTACTTCCGTAACAAGTAATGAAAGATATTTCAATCAACTACGCATGACAGATCTTGCTCGGTGATTCTGAGTACAAGTATTACATGCAGCTGTCACAAACATTTCTAAGAATGCAATTCCTTTGGTTAGTCCGTTGATCTTCAATTTGGAACCATAAGAGCTTTCCCGAAAACAAAACAGAAATTATATATTCGTAACGTCGCTTAATGGAAACTCATCCACGCTTCTAATAAATGACTTAGAAAAGTTACACATATTGATAATATATAAAACGTGAATGTAAATACAGTATATACTAAAAATGTAACGCACCCAGTCGCATATATTTTTCCGGTCATGGTTGTTAACATCACGGATTGCTATTGCTGTTCAGATACGAAATGTGTACAAAAATCATCCCCAGTTAATAACGCACACCTTATTTTTACAAGAATGTAATATTCATCAGCCATGTGATAAAATATCTAGGACACTTAAATATTGGAACATAATTTTTATTCAGAGTACTACCCTGCGTTACAATTTTAGTTATTGTGCAACATAATGCATACATTGTGAAACAATATATTACTGAATACGTTTCGGTAACTGTACTGTTCGCACTGTATTTAGTCGAACATAAGCGACCTCTGCATTGGATGGAAATCACATCCGAGCACTTGTCAATGCAATCGGGGTTTTCGAAAATAATTGTAAGTAAAAGTATTTAGTGTGTAAGAACGGTGCTTTGTAAATCAATCATTACCTAGCCGAACGACTGTTTTAATGGTTACTAGAAAAACCGGACGCGCAAGATTAAACTGGAGGAAGCTACTGCGTATTGGTGACAAACAGTGAGGTAACAAATGCAATATTTTGCTTAAACGGGCACTACCTGCAAAAAGCAGTAATTTTAAAGCAGGGTGAATTTCAGTATACCAAGCAAATATTAGTCAAACGTTGTAACACAGTAACAGATGCTCAGCCATACTGACGCTAAGTGCAAGACAACGATTGCAGGAATACGTTATATCGTACAAAATGATAGATGCACCGACGGTAGAAGCAAGTTGTTATTAGGGACTGAGCTTTATCTTCCTTATATTCCTTAAGCGCCTAAACTTTTGGATGGGCATCCGTAATTATGACCTACTAAATATTTGCCTCGACTGCGATGAAACAGCAACAACAATTAAATATAGGTGACGATGAATACTTGGCCACTAACCTACAGCTAATGCGCAAAGGTATTGTGCACCTCTTAATAATTTTCCAACAGCATGTCGAGTATGCTTCTAAAATAACGGGAAACTGGTTTCAAGGCTAGTGGCAAAATGAACCTATTATAAAGCAAGGCAACTGCGTTACAAATCGTCTTCATACTCTACTACTCATATTGAACTTAGCCTCCGACTTAGATAAAATATTCTTTATTGCATTTTTTAACACCAGTTGATGTAAACTGCTAAATATCGTACATAATTTGTAATTCTATTTGGTGTCAACTGCTATAAATGCTTTCAGGTATAGACCTAATCCATTTTAGCTACTAACATAACCAACCCACTCAAATGTAACTACAGTCAGATCATCGTGCATTAAATTGATAAGTGATAAACCATATGCAATGGAATTTTTGTTTCATGTGCATTTCAAAATATGGTAGAAACAATTTGGTTTACTCAATCTTCCCCATCCATGACCTGTAGTTACGGACTCCACTGATATACACGCGTTCTCTTTGTAATTAATGGTGTGTGCAATAGAAAATAACGTTTTAAACAAATCCATCGATAGCAGCGATGAGGTCGGAAATGTTTTTAATCTGATGTAAAAGTAGGCGGCTCGGTCGTTTTCTTTTTCTGTCTGTGGCCCAACGGTATCACATCCAATAAGCGATTGCACAGGTTGTTGCACAATACTCAGTATCTGAAAAATGAAATTTGCGATATTGCACACGAGTTGGCTTTCTCTGTATGGATTTTAAACGCAACAAGTTACAAATACGCATATATGCTTGAGACTTCCGCGAAGGTCCGTTGCTGTACAAAAACTAACAAACCGGAAGTGGCATACAGTGGTAAGATTAACGTGAACACTGCTGCTCAGACGTAAAAAACAGGCGATTCTTTTGATGAATATTTTGTTTCCTCTTTGAAATTTTTACATGCAGTGATGCATGCGGGTACCTAATGTGTAAATGCGGTTTAGCTTTAATAAATGGCTGTAAGCTGTGCATTTAAACGGTTACGTTCAAATTCCTGACAGAAATATTGATAGAACTGATATATTTTACCTTATTAAAGAGGTATTTGAAAGCGAGAAAATTGTAAATTTAAGATGGTTGTTAAAATTACCTAAACATTTTTATTAGACCGTGAACAACTAATCAAGTGTCAACGCTTATTTAATGGCAACCATAAGAGCACATCATAAAATGTTTATACAAAACTAAAAGCAACTTAGGTATGTATCTGATTTTGAAGCAAGTCAAATTTTACATAGATGTATTTACTAGATTTTATTCGTTTCGACCAACGTTTGTAGTTATTTAATTTGTCTGCGACACTTACATTGCTAGCTACACTAAGTCCTCTGTAAAATCAAATAATGTGAGTTTTTCCCTGAACCGAATTGTAAAATAATTTTGTTAACAAAATAAGGTATTGTCATTAAGTACATTAATTAAAGCTGCTTAAAATTTAGGTGTGTATGCAGCGTTTGTTATTCTATGTAAGTCAACTACTATCTTTATACCACGGTGGCTTATTTTACTAAACGCTATAAATAATGCCGAATTATAGTTGTTGTTTTATTGCATTTTCTAATAAAACTAACCGTGCTGCAGTTTGCACTGCTTGGGAAACGGGGATAAAATGCTTTGAATGCAAAGGTTGTTCCTAAATTATATTAAAAGGTACATAAATTTAATATTGTGGGAAAGAGAACTGAAATATTGGTATGCCAATTTTTAACTAAAGTTTAATAAAAACCTTTAACTAAAGCATTATTTTGAGTAGAGTAATTATAATACTAACTGGAACTATGAACTGATAATAAAAAGTTACAGCAATTGTTGCTCTAATGTGAAGCAATTTTAGCGGGTGTGTGGAATTACCGCTGTATGTAACGCTGATACACATAGTTTCATGGATACCGTAACTTGAAAGAGGCAAACATTGTCAAGTACTGGTAGTTGTTTGCAGATCTATGCGGGATTACGTGAATGGTTAATACAAATTAGCAATATATATTTATTTTTATGCTTCTTTCTGCTTGTTGCCTTATCAGTAAGCCCACCATGTTTGCACCATCATTATTGTCTTTTATCATGGGGTAAATTACTAGATTATAATGCTGCTTACGATTTACTTGTACGATGATCATACAAATTTTAAATTTTACTCGATTCAAGTTCACCCTACTCACCTATTGTAGGAACAGGTTCCATCCATTCTCTCCCTGTTATGGTGTGGCAGTAATTTTGGCCGTTGTTTAACCGCGAATTGACCAATGCTGTCTTTGCAAAATATTGCATATCCTCATGGTAGTCCTTTAATTTTTCACTAAATACGACAATGCGAAAGACTATGGCGTATAGGTTTTGCGCTACCTCCAAACTACTGAGAACGAAGCAGCTCTGAAATGTACCATCCGTCCACAATCCTCGTGATTTGGCTTTCAGCTGGGGAGTGAAACAAAGAAGCACAAATATTTGAGTATATGTCAAACTGTAAACCTCGTCAAAACATCATGAAGCAAACAAGCTCACCAGGCCACAAGCAGTTGCACCATATGAAGCCATTACGTTTGTTCGCATTTGAACTCCAGTAACTAGGGAAAGGAAAAATCGACAAAATATGATACTAGTTATGGATGGAAATGTGTGAAAAATTCCCAAGTACGATGTTGTTATTCACTCAATACGTATCCTTGCAACTGAGTTATCAGCTTACTACCATGAGTGTATGAATCAGGCATCCAATCTGTTCATTACATAAGTTCAATTTTCGAGTAAATTCCATACTTTATTCCAAGGACATTTCAGTGCATACATTAGTTCTCACTCAAGCCGACAATTACCTTAACAGAATTACAAGACGAATTTCTCACGGTTAATTTCTTCGCTTAGGAAAGGTTTTGTAAAAAAATTTAGCGTTAAACTGATCTTTTAGTAATCTCTCATCTGAAGCTCAAACAACAATGCAAAGTCTGCTTAATATCTGAAGTGATAAATCGACTACAATATTGGTGCAAGAATTGTTATATATTTATTCGTAACGATGTTTTGTACCCTTCAAATTTGCAGAGCCCTACAGTTCCACCAATTATCCTTTTGATAAAACAGCCTCGCGAACTAAAGTACGTAAGTAAAATTAACCTGCATTTCACCGAAGACGTGTTTTCTTGTGACTGTTCATCCAGTTAACCTATGCGGTACGTGAAGTGGATTTTCAATTTTAACAGGCTTCCGTTTTTCCTGTTGCAGTCTAGCGCTCATACTAGTGTATTTAATCAAACAGCATTGCCAATCCGGATAAAGTTTACCAAGAACCGCTAAGCACTTTATTTATGCTATCCATAGCTTCTATATTTTAAATGCCATTCATGTCTGTCTACCTGTCCTGTAGTTAATTATTAAAATATTAGTTGGCTACCTTATTTACGTGGTGACAGAACTTGAATGCTCGTGTTAAATGATTAGCAGTTGTTGCTTGCAATGCGTTGCACGATGTATATTAAAGTTTTAATCATAGCTCTTCCTGTGAAACAATGCCAGCCATGCTTACCTTTGGTGTCTGAATGATTTAAACTCAAGGCGAACTTTCAACGGCAATTGAATTTGTGGTTCGTGTAAGCTATAAATTGTCACCGTATCTGACATTATGCAAATATCAGCACTTTTAATACAAGAGTGTATAAAGGATGGCTGAGATGATTCCATCAATTATGTTAGAGCAAATATCATTTCAAAATATTGTGTTTATCTGTCCGAGGCAGGCTAAAAGCAGGTGTCCAAATTTAGGCATACAGAAAGCGCAGTAACTTTATAAGTGGCCGGATATGCACTACAGGCAAGAACACATTATTACATGTTGATAACAAACCAGTTTTATAATAATATCTTCCCTTCTTTCATCGTTTGCTTGGTCATACCAATCAGGGTAATATTATTTCTGTAAATAATCATGTCAGTTTGATTCATACACTCACTTGCATTTTAAAAAATTAAACTATTAGTTTTCCATAAACTAACACTATCATATATGCACATTATGAACGTAACATTTTCATGGAATTTAACTGCAAGCTGCTGAGTGTGATTCCATATTTTATTGAGTTTGATTGGTACAACATAGTTTACAGTGTCAAAATAACTGTTTGACGCGCGTCTAATACCTGTTTAGCTTTTCCGCATCATCACTCTCTTTGTCTACGTACATAATTGGTATAAGAAACATGTGGATACCTTAATAAATAAATACCAAATAATGTGACAGATGTGCGCCGTAACGCCGCTTCGCTGCCGCGACAACCACCAGTCGCGCGCGGGATGAGTATACCGCGAGGACATCCACCCCTACGCAGATTCGAACCGGTGACCTTATGGTTGCGAAACAAACGTGCAGGCCACTCGGTCACAAGCCGACCATGTTGATAGTAGCTAAGATTATCGAAAGCCGTCGAAGTTCGCATGCAATGTTGCGACTCTAGAATATCAAAAACGCGCATGTAAGAAAGTGGGCGAACATTCTACCCAAATTATGTGGCGGGCATTGATGTACCTAGCTATAAGCCGATAAACACAGTTAAAAGAAACACAAAATGTTCGTGATTTGCAATGCCACCTGCTACTTGCATATTAGACGTTTGTGACATCAGGGGTGATCCTAATCGCATCCTTTTATTTACGGTTCGAAATGACCGGATTGTCTGTTTTGCGGGACTCGAGCAAAATAAACTGGGTTAAGTTGCATGGGTACGGGCAAGCCATCAACACCTAGAGAGGAGCCGACGGTTTGGAGTAAACGAAACAAATAAATAAATAACAGCTGCATTTTCATCAATTTAAACGTTATCCGTATCTGGAATAGACCTCAGATAAGGTGCACAATACAAAGGACAAAAAGCAGAACCAAAAAGAAGGCACGACGGCTGAATCCACGGTAACGGATGTACATCGTTCCGGAGAGCAAATAGCCGGATAGCGTGCTGCAACAACAGTTACATTATGCCTAACGAATGCACTCATATTTTCAGAGGGAGGCGAAGCACGAGAGAACGGACAAGGAGCTCACAACACAAACGCCATTGGGCCGGTTACTCGCCGTATGTGCAGTTGTGTCCAACCAATCGTGTTCAGCGTCCTTAGTCCCCAGCCCGGCAGTCGGGATGCACCAACCGACGCCAACTTCGAAGTGAAGGTTATCATCTATCACGACCAATCAGTGTTTGGCCTCCCCTTCTCCTCATCCAAACGCACCATCGGCGCGCCATCAATGCACGTCACGGGAGTCGGTGTACTGGCATGCGCAACACGTGGTTCAACCATCGGAGCCTGGTGCGTGATAGAATGTCCCTGAGTGGTTCACTAGCTCATCCTGCAACCATTACACGACGCCGAACAGGCTCATTGCACACGCGGTACTCCCACCAGACGTGAACTAAGCTGCTGAGGCAGCGATGATCGAATATGACGAGCTTCTTTATGTCTGTCGACCTGATGGGCCAGGTTTCACGACCGTATAAGGGGGTTGAACGGACCATTGCATTCTAAACTCTGCCTTTCAGGGCGAGAGTAATGTCGCATCTGAGCCACTGGTGGCGGAGATTGCAAAAGCACCTAGACGTTTTGCTAGACGATTTGTAATAGCATAATCCATGCCACGGTCAATAATATAGTTGCCTAGGTTCATGAATTCATGAACGACTTCTAGCTGATCACAATAAAGAGTCAATTCAGGGGTGGGTCCTTTTCAAGCTTTGGAGTACTTTTTATTTCAATGGAGCAAAGCATAACTCAAGTCGATTGACAGGCAGTGCTAATCGGTCTAGTGCAGCCTGGAAAGTTTAGGCGCTTTCACATAAGAGGGAAATGTGTTCCGCATAATCCAGGTAAAGAAGTCGCTCACCAGGAAGTAGCTCCACACCTTATAGGTCGTGTCCTGTGAACGCTGTTTCCAATACTTCTTCAATAGCGAAATTAAAAAGTAAATATGGCACTGGGCAATCTTGTCTCATACCGTTGGGATATTGAATGGCGGCGACAATTTTCCAGTAACCCTCACTCTGCCGAACTATGCGCGCACAGCTCTTGGAGAATGTTCACAAATATATCGGGCACAACTTTTTTCAGCAGACAGTCCCAAAGGGCACACCAATTCACCGAATCAAAAGCACTTTTAATGTCGAGAAGCACGACAACGATGGGTTGCCAAAAATCTTGGCGGTGCGCCAACAATTGACGCAATGTGGAGATGTGGTCGATGCAGCCTCGATTTTGACGAAATCCGGCTTGCTATTCGTGGCCTTCACGAGCGCCCGTTATACTTTGGTGAAAGACAGAGGCAAGCAACCCAGAGGCAATTGAATGCAGTCTGATCCACCTATGGTTGTCGAATTCCAAACGGGAGCGTCCCTTGCAAATTGGGACTAGGATGAAGCGGCTCCATCCTGTCGGGACAGTTTCCTGCTGCAAATGTCCCAGTAGCAACTCCTGTAAGTCATCTGAATAATGTAGGTCCCTCGAATTCTTAAAGCGCAGGAGGAACTATATCTGCCCCGGCTGCTTTGTGCAATTTCAACATGCTGACCTCAAGTTCAATTTCTGCGCTTGAGGGTGGATCTAATGAGACTGCCCATGTATAAGGGCACTCAATGTCCAAAGAGAAAGCGATAACACAGGGTGGCTAAACCACCTTGCTAAGTGTTTGGGCCAACGTTCCAAACATCATCGTAAGCACCTGGTATCCTACTGCCTATTTTTACTGTCAGACGAAATAACACGGTGATTGCCAACGGCATCGGCTGTTTCCAGTTTCAATACACCATGAGACCACCAGGCTTCGCGGTGTCTCTTCAATCTAATACTCAGTTTTGCCCTGAGATGTTTGAGAGCCTTAGTGTAGATGGTTGCTAGTCTCACTGTAAACGTGCACTGATATATCTAACAAGCAAATACGTTTTATTGGGGTTAGTTTTGTTACGCTTTTCGGGAATGCGGCCAGAATGAATGATTCTGCGTCATTCTCTTAATTTTATACCGGTAATTACCGTGCTTTTTCAGTGATGCAGGTGGACGTGTAACCAACATTTTTGCAGCGTTCATGGGTGACCACGGGGAGGCAACTAGTAGTATTACGGTGGTAAACATTTCCGATGAATGCACGCACAGATATAATTAGTACAAATGCAGGCAAAGTAAACGAAGCAATGGGTTTTGGAGGCGGTATGATTGCGGTGCCAAATCCATAATTACTGCTACAAAAATACAACGTTTGATTCTCTCTTGTTCAAAAGAGTAAGTGATTTAAAATGGGATTCACTTAACCTCACCATTTATATTATTTCCACTAAGGAAACCGTGGTGGTATGCTCATACTGGACGTTTGATGCGGAACCATGGTATGTATTACTAAACTTGCTGCAAAATTGCTGAGGAGTTTTCCACCTCTAGCTAAGATGTATAGTGAATGATGAATGATTGCAAACATTCAAGACCAGTTTAATGCGTACGTATGTGGATTTGTTAACGTGCATTATGAAAATCGTTTAATTCGTCAAGATTTATAATCTTTACAGTATCCTCATCAAAATAGCGAGGCATGCAAGAT